CCTAAGCAACACTGGCACTTCTGTTAGTCTGTGAGTCTCTCAATGATCGAAAGCCCGTGGCTGGCTCCACAGCTGTGGTAAGGCCACTGCTGTGGTGAGACTATAAACCAACATTATTGGCCAAGTCCATAAAAAGAGGGATACAAGGTTCTTTGCATATGGCATGGTATCATTGAAAGAGTGCTGGATTTCAGTCCTCTTTCTGCCACAGTGGTTGTGTAACTTCAGGGTTTATTAATGTGAAACAGTGTGTGGTCTTGGGACTAATTGATCCCTAAGGCTCCTTTTGCTGTAAAAATTCTGTCCTAGTCCAGCTTCTGCAGTGGTTTTGCCAGTCTCTTGAATAAGTAACAAGTTCTTTCAGTTTATATGCTTTTACCCAAAACTAAACAAAAGAATCTTTTGAAGCTAGGCAATTTCTTGTGTTCAAAGTTAATATGTTTTTAATCTTAGGAGTAAAGCAAAATATTATGTCATTTTTGAAGTATCTTTTCGTCTTTACTGCAGTGTATATTTTACTCCTATTATTGAAAAGTTGAGTATTCTATTTTATAAACATAGAAGATATTTGTTTCTAATCATAAGAAATACTTGCTCACTAAAATTCAAATTAGAAAAATGTAAAGAAAATAAAAATCATCATGAATCCTACTACCTGGACATGGCCAAGGAAAAATATATCTGCCTAATCATTGATGGAATTTTCATTAAATGCACATACCCACATGTGACTAACACAAGTGTGTATAATACACAAGTCATATGTGATGAGTAGGTATATATACATACTTGTGGTTAAGGTTGTGAACTCTGGCATCTGGCTGTCTGGTTTTGAAGCCCAGCTCCCCTCTTTGCAACTGTGATGTGGACTGTTTACTTCTTTCACCTCAGTTTTCTCATCTGTAAAGTGAAAACATTAAAGCTCGTTCTTCACGAGGTTGGTGTGAGACTCTCGTGTGCTTAGTCGCTCTGTCATGTCTGACTCTTTGTGACCCCATGGACTGTAGCTCACCAGGCTCCTCTGTCCATGGGAATTCTTCAGGCAAGAATACCAGAGTGGGTTGCCATGCCCTCCTCCAGAGGATCTTCCCAACCCACAGATCAAACCCAGGTCTCCTGCATTGCAGGCAGATTCTTTACTGACTGAGCCAAAAAATGTGTAGCCCTGGGTAAATCCCTGGTGATCCATTGTTTAGGACTTTGAACTTCTACTGTAGGGGCCATGGGTTCATCCCTTGTCAGGAAGTTTAGGTTCCTGCACGCAGAGCAGCGCAGCCGAAAAAGAAAATTAAAAAGAGAAACGTAGCCCAATGCTTTGAATGCAGTAGCTAGTGTTATCATTTTACAGTTATTATGGATTATATAAATTCATAAATGGGGTCACACTTTGCATTTTTACCTTATAGTGTGTTAGGAAACATTCTTATGTTAATGGAGTTTGATCTGTATCCTGGTATTAATGCTGCTGCTGCTGCTGTCGCTTCAATCGTGTCCGACTCTGTGCGACCCCATAGACAGCAGCCCACCAGGCTCCTCTGTCCCTGGGATTCTCCAGGCAAGAACACGAGTGGGTTGCCATTTTCTTCTCCAGTGCATGAAAGTGAAAAGTGAAAGTGAAGTCGCTCAGTCATGCCAAACTCTTAGCAACCCCATGGACTGCAGCCCACCAGGCTCCTCCATCCATGGGATTTTCCAGGCAAGAGTACTGGAGTGGGGTGCCGTTGCCTTCTCCGCATGTTATTAATGATTCTGTTGTGTAGTTAGACTTTTATTTAGCCACTCTCCTGTTTGACACTATAGGAAAGATAGAAAAAAGGAGAGTTGTAATGAACTTCTGTGTACATTTTTTATTTTATTATATTTTTGGTATAAATTCCTGAATATTCATTAGAAGGACTGATACTGAAGTGCCAATACTTTGGCCACCTGATGTGAAGGAGCCAACTCTTTGGAAAAGACCCTGATGTTGGGAAAGATTGAAGGCAAGAGGAGAAGGGGGCCACAGGGGAAGAGATGGTTGGATGGCATCATTGACTCAGTGGGCATGAAACTGAGCAAACTCCTGGAGATAGTGAAAGACAGGGAAGCCTGGAGTGCTGCAGTCAGTGGGATGTGAGTTGGACATGACTGAACAACTGAACAACAACATAAATTCCTAGAACTGGCAATGTTCTCTCGAATGGTGTATTTAATACCATTTTCCAGATTGCTACTGTTCTTTATGGGAAGGTGGCATCAAGTTACAACATCTGACAGCAATATGTGAAAATACCAAGTTTTCTGCTCTTGTGCCAGACCTGGGTTCTGTCCACCTTTCAACAAATTTGAAAAGGGAAAACATCTCATTGCTATTTTGCATTCTTTTCTTAGTAACTTTGAACATCTTTTCAAGTGTGTTGTCCACTTTATTTCTTCTTTGTGACTTGTCATTTTTTTTTTTCTGTTGTTGATTTGTAAGAATGCTTTGTATATCAGAGATTGTGACATTTTGTCTGGAATGTATGGGACATCTTTTTAAGGTTAAGGTCATGCTTCGAGTCTGAAAGGAGCAGGTATTTACTGTGAATTTCTAGATAAAGCTCATATTCAAGTTGAAAACTGAAACCTGCCTTTAGTTTCTCAGAAGGATTGTCTTATGACCTGTTGATTGTGAATAATTCTCACTCACTTTGGTGGTAATTTAGTCACTGTGTCTAACTCTTGCGACCCCATGGGCTGTAGCCCACCAGGCCCCTCTGTCCACGGGATTCTCCAGGTGAGAGTACTAGAGTGGGTTGCCATTTCTTTCACTTACATTAGGCAGTGCATAAAGGCTAAAAGCTTTGACCTTTGATTCCTGTGTATATATGCACAGGAATATATTGTCACCTTAACCTCACCACTCCTTCCTTCTTTGCTGTTTGCTCACACACAGCCATTCTTCTCATGTCCCTGGTTAGCAACCTTGGAGCCATCTGTGTATCTTTTCCAAGTTGAAGCCTTTCTAGTTCTTAAGCTTCCTTCCCATAAAGTCATTTTCCCTCCTCAGTCTGCCTCTACCCCTCTGGTTATTGCTATTATATTGGGTTGGCCAGTAAGTTCTTTCACGTTTTCCATAAGCTGCAACAGAAAAACCTGGATGAACTTCTTGGTCAACCCAACACTGAGCCTGTGTGTTAGAATGATTTGATGTATCCTCGCTTCTCAAAAGTAAGATGTTGACCTTATTTACTTTTGTATCTTCAGACTCCATCATGACCTGGCCCATAGTAACCCCATGATTCATGTTTGTTGTATTTGATATTTCCTTGTAAAAGATGATGATGGTAAGCCTCTACAGTCTATTGGTAGATTAACCTTTTTTGTTAATCTACATTGGTAGATTAACCTTTTTTGTTACAAGAAATGTCAGAGGTTCAAAGGAATTGAAGGAATACCAGGACGAAAGCCCCCTAAATGTACCTGTTGGGATTTATATCACCCTGGCACATGGTTAGTCCTCTGCTCAGAAACCTCCAGTGACTTCTTGCTGACTGTCGAGTCAGATGTAAAAGGCAGCAGACTTTCTCATGTGGTTGCAGCTTATAAACATGTTATCACCCTGCTCTGGTCAGGACTTTACCCTCGCTTCATTGACTTTATGCATGTTGTTCCCTGCATAGAACATGCTTCCCTTTTTGCTGGACCATTAACTTTTGTGTATGAGGTATTCTGAGTTCCCATAGCTCTAATTGCTAACTCTTGTCATTCTATATAATTCCTGACCACATTATTAGCTATTTGAAGGTGAGAACTCACTCCTATTTTGACCTGGCAGCCTAGCATGCTGACTCTTATTTGGCCGATACCTGGAAATAGCATTCCTGGTGTATTTGTAGTATAATTTGCATCCAGCATTAATTTATAATACCTGTGTTGCCCCAAACAGAAGTTATGCTCTGTTAGTGAAAAACAAAAGCTTATGAGTCCAGGCCAACCTTGGTCTGTTTGATCAGCTTGCTGCAAGACCGTGAGTTCTCCCAAAGAAAGGAAAGATGCCCTGGGTTGTTGGTCACCCCTTCTATGATTGTACCCAATAATCGATTTGCACTTGTGCTTTGGAGTCATTAAAACTTCCATTAAGTACAAAGTTAGAATAAAGGAGTCTAAAGCCTGAAAATTGCCCCAGTGGGAGTCACTGAGTTAGAGAGGTTGACATGAGAAACACTTTAGAGGGAGGTCATTAGGCCTTAGTGACTGATGCCATCAGTGGGTCTCCAGATTGACTGTGACAGTTTTCAGGCTTGGTAACAGAGATAAAGATGATACCTCTGAGAAAGATAGGGACACTGGGAGGGGCAGCTGATGCTGGGGACATAGACTGCATACCACAACATGAAACTGGACTACATCAGTTCTCTGCTCATGATGAATTGCTGACTTCTGTTGTATGTTGACAAGGTGCAGTTGCTTTGTAATAGTCAGGAGCCCTCATTAGATACCAGTCCATTCCCATCCTCCCTCCCCTAAAACATAGTTCATGCTCCAGCCATAACTAATCACTTCTATTTCTCTGAGTCTCTTGGCTATTTTTTATCATCATTTTGTAGGGGGCACTCTATTTCGTCTACCTGGAATGCCATCCATTGTCCATCTGGCAAACTCGTTCATCTTTCTAAGTCTTGTTCAGGTCAGTCACACCCTCTGTAAATACTTTCTCAGTCCTTTTGTGAGAGTACCTTTTACACTGTTATGCCATCACTTACCTGAATGTCCCCTCCACCATATTCTGATTTGCCTACAGACAAGGGTGTTGTTCCCTTGTTTTTGTACAGGGCCTGGCCCCCACAGGTGCTGTGAACCATTGGGTGAGCCTGACATGTAACCCATCTAGATCATGAGAAAATTTCTTTTGTCTAAGAAGCCAGACTTGTGGTGAATTGTGGTTAATTTTCACTAAGAGAAAATACAGATATAGTCTATATTTGTTTTTTTCCATGAGAACCTATGTTTACTTCTTATTTTCAGCAAGTTTGTCAAAGATGAAAGTGACCTTATCAGCTCTGGATACTCATGAGAGTTCTTTCACGCCTTTGGTCATCATAGAACTTGCTCAGGATGTCAAGGAAGAAACCAAAGAATGGCTGAAAAACAGAATCATCACTAAAAAGAAAGATGGAGGTGAGTAAAATAAATATTACTCCAACTTAGTCGTGCCTACTTGAATAAAACTGTATTGACAAATGTGTTTCACAGTTTTCTGGTTGATCTGTTTTTAAAATTCAAGTTCATTTCTTTGCTCTTTGTTCTATACCTAGGACTTGAAAGGAGGTCTTAAATCAACGTTAGATTGTAAGTCTCTCTTAGATCGTAAACAACCTGAGTGATTTTGTTCACAGGTGTAAACTCTGCACCTGTGTACAGTACCTGGTGCATAGTAGGTACTTAATAAATACTTGTCAAATGTATGAATATCTTTGAGGATTCTTTGTGTGTTGGTTGTGGTGCTAAGAGGGACAGAAACATGTCTCTGCCAGCAAAGATGTTACTGTCAGGGTAAGGAGACTGAATGCTAGATCCAGGAAGTCAAAGGAATAGGAAAAAAGCTAGTGAAAAAGCTGTTAGAAAACAGCACATGATACTTAAAAATGAGTCTCGTATGTGTACTTGCTATGAAAGTAAAGGGAAGGAAGAAGTGACGCTTGGTGATGCTTTTCAGGGTGGTAAGGGATGACTTCATGGAAGAAGCCAAAGTTTAACTCTCTGCTCTCTGGCAAAAAGGGAGCTGGACCTTGGTGAGAGATGGAGGGGATTTTACATGAGCAGACACTTTGTTGTTGTTGTTCAGTTGCCAAGTTGTGTCCGACTCTCGGCGACCCCATGAACTGCAGCATGCCAGGCTTCCCTGTCCTTCACTATCTCCCTGAGTCTGCTCAAACTCGTGCCCGTCGAGTCAGTAATGCCATCCAATCATCTCATCCTCTGTCGTCCCCTTCTGTTCTTGCCCTCAATCTTTCCTAGCATCAAGGTCTTTTCCAGTGAATCGCCTCTTCACATCAGGTGGCCAAAGTTTTGGAGCTTCAGCCTTAGCATCAGTCCTTCATCAGACGGTTCATAAAACTACACAAAACGCCCCCTAAAAATGTCTAGGAGGTATATACCTCTGAATAAAAGGAGTTCCAGAAAGAAAGCGGAGAAAAAGGAGAGGAAGAAATCATCAAAGAAAAACTCAAGACTGGTGTATGCTTTTTCAGATTGAATGGGCCCATGCAATGCCCAGACTGGCTGAAACTGGCATATATGATTGGAATGTTTCAGAATCCTGGGGATTCTGGAACTACAAAGTTCCAAAAAAGAAAATAGGTCAGAAACACTGGAAGCTAGAAGGCAGTGAAGTAATATCTTCATTTCTGATGGAAAATGGTTTCGGTCTAGTATTCTGAACTCACCTAGCTGCCAACAAGGTGTGCTGCTGCTGCTGCTCCTGCTGCTAAGTCACTTCAGTCGTGTCCGACTCTGTGTGACCCCGTAGACGGCAGCCCACCAGGCTCCCCAACCCTGGGATTCTCCAGGCAAGAACACTGGAGTGGGTTGCCATTTCCTTCTCCAATGCATGAAAGTGAAAAGTGAAAGTGAAGTCGCTCAGTCGTGGCTGACTCTTAGCGACCCCATGGACCGCAGCCTACCAGGCTCCTCCGTACATGGGATTTTCCAGGCAAGAGTACTGGAGTGGGGTGCCCTTGCCTTCTCCGAACAAGGTGTGAGGGTAGAATAAAGAAAGATAAGATCTCTAAAAAGATGGTGTTGTCAGACTCTTTCTCTTCCCTCTACTGAGGGAAGACTTAAACAGTTAGCTTGGGGGATTGAATTATCTCTAAGTATATAATAAGCTAAGCACATTATGAAACAAGATAGATACCAACTTTGGGGAAATGATAAGTTGTAGGAAAGGAAAATCATAGCATATTGTAAGGCTCAACTATAATGTACGTAGCCATAATAATAAAAGTACTGTTGATGGAGTGAAAAGGATGATATAATGATATTGTGAGAATGGTGTTTTGGAAATGGTGGGTGGAAATGAGGGAGGGGGGTTGGAAAGTTTAATCCTCATTTGCCAAAGTTAAAAAAAAATAGCTCTAAAAGAATGTTGTCTGGTGACGTGAAAACAAATCCTAAAGGAATCACATGAACAGGTTGAAAGTCATTGCTTCAGGGGTGGGGGCTTGCGATGAGAGAGTGCTCTTTTTCAGAACAAGATTCTCACTAATGGTTCTCCATGAAGGTTACAGCAGTTTCTGGTCCCCTAGCCGTGTCTGAGAGTACCTTCCCTACATGCTGGGTCATTTGGGCCTTCCACACAAGAGATGCCAAGTGGGGTTTAATGCACAGGAGGTTTGTAGAGGGGATCATCTATAGAAAGATAAAGCAGGAAGGAGCAGGCTTAGACACTGATAGCCTTCTGACTTTGGTGCGTGTCTGCAGCTTGTGAAAGGAGAGAGAGAAGGAGGGAGAATTGGATAGGAAAAGCCTCAGACTACAGCATGGTTTTGAGAACATGTTAGCCAGGCTCAGCATTGCACAGTGGCTTCATTCCACTGTCCCCTAGGGTTCAGCCCATGGCCTAGGTGTTGGGGTGCTGCAGCCAAAGGGGGACAAGCAGACGGCTGTCAGCTCTGCTTCTTACAGCAAACCCTTTGGAGGGGAGATCTGGGTAGAGTGGAGCACTTTCGTGGGTAACACCCCCACCATCTATTTTTTCAATCTAACTTGATTTTTGTAGTGTGAGAAGTGAAAACATATTGGTGGTGTTTTGCATTTATCTTAATATGGATGACATTAAGGATTTTCTATTTAAGAGCCATTTGTGTTTTCTTTAAATTGAACATATCTTTTATTTATTTTTTAATTAAAGCCTTTAACACCTCTGTTGTAAAGTACGTAAATAATAATGCCATGGCAAGTTAACCTTATTAACCCCCTGGATAAGTAAAATATAATTCTGCTCATTATCCTGTTCCATCTGATTGGTATTTTTATAACTCCTGTCAACACTTTATAGAGGATAAATAGTAAAGATATAAATGCACCTTAAAAAGCCTGATGTAGATAGAAATTAGGAAAAATTCCTTTTTCTACAATCTTTGAAGTGAAATAATTAAATATACAGTATCAGATAACAATATCTACTTATCTTTAAACCTAATCGAATGTATTAATATTTATGGGAAAAATCATTGAAAAGTTATTTCACTGTTTATTATTCAGTATTTAACATTCACACCATCTGTTGTAGTCTTATATAATTGTGTTACATTTGTTGCATTTTTATTGGGATATTTTATTTCAAATTAATTTTCTTAAATTTTTGTATTTTTTATATTATACTATATCCTTTTGCTTCATATTTTTACTTAGTGTAGTTTTATATTTAGAGCTAACAAATATTTGATTCTTGTCTAATAGCTACTTCTGATTTGAGTAACTGACAAGCCACTTATTACATTTTCCAGTTTTGGCACTTATTTCAAAAAGCTATAAAGATCTGCCTTCCCCAACTTACTTTTATTTATTATTTATTTGGGAGATGGATTTAAATTGTTAATATAATTTATTTGCCTTCTGCCAAACTAGAAACAGAATATTTGAAACTTTTATGTTTATCACTTTCCAAGATTGTGCTCATCTTTTGTTTCCAAAGGTGCTCAGCTGTTGTTTAGACCATTGTTAAATAAATATGAGAAAGAAACACTGGAAAATCAGAACTTGTATCTTGTCGGTGCCTCCAAGATTCGATTGTTGCTGGGGGCAGAAGCAGTGGGATTGGTAAAAGAGTGCAATGATAACACCATGAGAGCCTTTACGTATGGAACCCGACACAACTTCAAAGATTTTGATGGTAAGTTCCAAGATTGTTTCTGTCAGAATCAATTTATCAAAAGGAAGTCTTTGATGAGCAGATGAGGGGTCAGCAAAGTTTTTCAGTAAAGGGTCTGATAGTAAATATTTAGGCTGTGTGGACACTATGATCTGTCATAGTTATTCTTATTCAGCACAACGATTGTCAAGCAAAAGCAGCCTGCAGCCATGAGAAGCGAATGAATGAGGCTATGTACTAACAAAATTTTATTTATCAAACCAGGTAAGATCAGACTTGGGGTTGCAGATTTACTTTGTAGCCTCTGGAATGCTGCTAAGTTGCTTCAGTCGTGTCCAACTCTGTGCGACCCCATAGACGGCAGCCTACCAGGCCCCATCGTCTCTGGGGTTCTCCAGGCAAGAACACTGGAGTGGGTTGCCATCCAACCTCTGGAATAGATGAACATAAACTAAGATGACATATGTCACTTATCTATATAATTTTAAGTCTTAGAATGGTGATGTTCATTAGATATAAGTAAGAAGCACAGTAGTATTTCATATCCTGTAATCCCCTATCCTGCTTCTGTTCTGGCCTCAAAGGGGGTTTCAGAAGAGAGTGATTTCTGGAAAGAACTGCGAAATCCAGGATGGCTGTGATAGCAGAGTAGGAGGTTGCTTTCAGAACCAAACTAGCTGGTCCCTTCCAAGGCCTTTCAAAGTTAGAAGATACGATTGGACTTCTTCAGACTCAGTCACTCTGGATTTTTATATATTAGTAAATAAACGATTGAGGTGAAATTCACCACATTTGAGGGGATTCACCTGTCAAAAAATGACACTATTTTCTTATCAGACTTTCTTCTCCTTCATTTATGTGAGGGATGTGGATTCCACAAGGAAATTGGCCTGGGCTTGAGAGTTTGGAAGAGAATTTGCCATGTAGGCAAACTTCAGATCCATTCCTAATTAAAAATATTGTTAAAATTAAAGAATATATTACTTTCTGTTCATTTCAGTTAAATGAGGGCAAGCAAGTGTCTACCATTTGGTTGTTTGAACCATATAATATAATCATTAGTGTAATGATTGAAGAACTATATTATGTGAAGGCATCACAGAATATTTTATTCTTATAAAATATCCTTTTCTATTTACTTTTTATTACTTGGGTTACTCTTTATGGCAACTATTTATTGGCTATACCATTATTTCATAATCCCAGGTTATTTGAATATTTTAGATTTTATTGGCTAATAGTGAGAAAATAACTATGAATTTTTGTTTTGTTTTAGATGATAATGATGATTTCCTCAGCATGGCAGAACGTCAATTCATTATCAAACATGAACTTGAAAATCTTCGAGCCAGAGATGAAAAAATGATCCCTGGTTACCCCCAGGCAAAATTGTACCCAGGAAAATCACTATGTAAGTCATTGTATCAACTAATTTCATGAATATACATTCTAATGCAATTATATTTTGCTTAGTATATGTAAATAACAAATTATAATGACTTTTTCCACCCTTACTGAAAAACTTACACAACTTTACAATAATTTTATTTTTTCACCATTATATATTTTGCCTTTAGACTTTCATGATTTTGTAGCTTTAGATCAACTTATTTGTTCTTTATGGTTCTCAACTTCTTCTTTATCAAGGTTCACAGCATTCAGTAAGCTTAAAATTCAGTGTGAGTGTATTTGCATATTACTCAGTTAAAATTAGCCAAGTTTACCGTATGCCCAGACATTATAGTGTAATGAAAATCTGTGGAGGAATAAAAACTAGGCACATGGTCTTTTCCTGGAGCCTTCTTCCCATCTCCTCTCATCTCACTGGGTATGAACAGATACAAACATAGAAAGACTTAAGAAGAGTCACAGTGGGACATCATACCTGAATGCAAATTAGCAGTTTGTAACTTTCTGATTGTGTGTAATTCCATTTGAATGAAAATACCAGTTGGTAGACTGAAAGTATTTACGACATGTAATTCCAAATTTTCCTGAAACCCAGATAATACCAAGGCCTAGAACATTTTTGCTGCCTGAGAAATTCTTTAAGCATACCAGGTTTTGTGTCCCCAGCCCGATGTCCTCGTAATGGTCAGTGTCGTCCAGGAGGACAAATGCCCGAGTCAGTCGTATTCGGATTTTCTCACTTGCACCAAAGTTTGTTTAAACCAAGGTCCAATCATAGATCGCTCATTTTTCTGGTTGTTATTATATCTCTTAAGTTTCTCTCTCTTTTTTAAAAGTGTTGAAGTACATATAACATAAGATTTACCATTTTAAAAACTTTTAAATGTACAGTTCAGTGGTATTAAATACATTCATAATGTTTTACATCAAACCTACAACACCATCCATCTCCATAGTTCTTTCTGTCTTGTGAAACTGAAACTCTGTATCCACTAAATAATTACTCTCCCACCTTGTCTTGCTCTTAAGACCTGGCAACCACCACTTTACTTCTGTCTTTATGGTTTCAACTGTTCTATGTATCTCAAATGAGTGAAATCACACAGTGTTTCTCTTTTTGTGACTGGCATATTTCCTTGGTGTAATGTCCTCAAGGTTTATCTTTGTTGTAGCATATGTCAGAATTCCCTTGTATTTAACACTACACAGTGGTCCATTGTATGTATGTACCACATATTGTTTATTCATTCCTTCATCAGTGGCTGCTTAGGTTGCCTCCACTTTTTGGTTATAATGACCATGGGTATACACATATTTCTTTGAGATCCTGCTTTCAAGTATTTTTGGTATATAACAAGAAATGGAATTCCTGAATCATATGGTAATTCTATTTTTAATTTTTTTGAAGTACTTCCATCCTGTTTTCCACAGGGACTGTATCATTGCAGATTCCCGCCAGCAGTGTACAGCATTGCAGTTTCTCCACTTTCTTGCCAACAGTTACTATGTTCTGATATTTTGATAGTAGCCATCCTAACAGGTATGAGGTGCTATCTCATTGTAGTTTTTGACTTGCATTTACCTAGTGACTGTTGATACTGAATATATGTCTTCTTTGGAGAAATGTCTATGCATGTCCTTTGCCTATTTTTGAATCATGAGTTTTAGGCATTCTCTATGTATTCTGGATATTAATCCCTTATGAGATATGTGATATGCAAATGATGTTTTCTCCCATTCTGTGGGCTGCCATTGTTTACTTTGGTGATACTGTCTTTTGATGCACAAAATTTTAACATTTTCCTGTACTTTTGGTTCATACCTAAGCACTTATTGCCAAAGTCACTGTCTTGAAGCTTATTCTCTGTGTTTTATGTTAGGAACTTCATAGTTTCGGATTTTATGTTTAGGTTTTTAATCCATTTTGAGTTAATTTTTGTGTATGGTGCTAAGCAACTTTATTCTTTTGCATGTGGATATCCAGTTTTCCTAGCATAGTCAAAAACTATTCTTCACTCATTGAGTCACGCTGGTACTCATGTAAAAATCATTTGACCACATATGTGAGGGTTCATTTCTGAGCTATTGTATTCCTTTGCCTGTATAGTCTGTCTGTACGATAGTATGACACTGTTTTGATTATTTTGGCTTTGGGGTAAGTTTTGACATCAGGAAGTTTTGTTTTTCTTTTTTAAAATTGTTCTGGCTGTTTGAGTTTCCATGAAATTCGATATGCGTTTTAGGATGGGTGTTTCTAATTTTGCAGAAGACATCATTAGGATTTTGGTAGGAATTGCATTGAATCTGTAGATTACTTTGGATAGTATTGAGCTTTTAACAAGATAAACTCCCATGAATATGGGATATGTCTCTATATATGTTTTAATTTCTTAGAGCATTGTTTTATAGTTTTTATTTGTATAAGTCTTTCATCTCCTTGTTGTGTGGTTGTGTGTCAGTAGCTCAGTCATGTCTGACTCTTTGTGACCCCATGGACTATAGCCTTCCAGGCTCCTCTATCCATGGAATTCTCTAGGCAAGAATACTGGAGTGGGTTGCCATTCCCTTCTCCAGGGAATCTTCCTCACCCAGGGATTCAACCTGGGTCTCCCACACTGGAGACAGATTTTTTACCATCTTAGCCACCAGGGAAGCACTTCACCTCCTTAGTTAATTACTAAGTATTTTATTCTTTGTGATGTTATTAAAAATAGAATTGTTTTTCATGATTACCTTTTCAGATAGTTCCTTGTTAGTGTATAGAGATGAAACTGATTTTCAGATGTTGACTTTGTGTCCTGCTCCTTTCCTGACTTCATTTATTGGCTTTGATAGTATTTTTGTGGAAATTTTAGGGTTTTCTACATATAAGATGATATCCATGAACAGAGACAGTTTTACTTCTAACTTTTCAGTGTTGATGTCTTTTATTTCTTTTACTTGCCTGTTTGCTCAGGCTAAAACTTCCAATAGCATGTTGAATAAAAGTGATGAAAGTGGTCATCTTTGTCTTATTTCTGATTTTAGAGGAAAACTTTCATTCTTTCACCATTCAACATAATGTGGGGTTTTTTTTCTCCCCTTCATTCTGTTAATGTGATGTATTACATGGATTGATTTTAGTATATTGAACTATCCTTGAATTATCAGGATAAATCCCACTTGTCATGGTATATAATCCTTTTAACATGTTGCTGAATTGACTTTGCTAGTATTTTGCTGAGGATTTTTGCGTCATTATTCATGAGGGATATTAGTCTATAGTTTTCTCTTCTTGTAGTGCTTTTGTCTGACTTTGTGTCAGGGTAATTCTGGCCTCATAGAGTGAGTTAGTAGTGTTCCTTCCTCTTAAATTTTTGGGGAAAATTGGAGAAGGATTGATATTAGTTTTCCTTTAAATAGTGGTAAAATTCACCAGTGAAGGTATCAAGTTCAGGTTTTTTCTTTGTCATGAGATTTTTTTAGTTATTCCTTTATAATTATAAATTTGTTCACATTTTCTCTTCCTTCCTGATTTAGTTTTGCTATGTTTTGTGTTTCTAGGAATTTGTCCATTTCATCTAGGCTAGCCAGTTTGTTGGGTACAGGTATTCATAGTATACTCTTACAATCTTTTTGATTTCTTTAGAATCAGTAGTAACGTACCCATTTTCATCTCTGATTTGAGTAATTTATGTTGTCTGTTTTTCTCAGTTCGTCTAGCTAAAGATTTGTCCATTTTGTTGATCTTTTCAAAGAAGCAACTTTTGTTTTTTTTAATTTTCTCTGTTATTGTTCTATCCTGTTTGATTTATCTCTGCTCCAATCTTTTTTATTTTCTTCCTTCTGCTAGTTTTGGGTCTAAATTGCTCTTCTTCTGATTCCCTAATAGTAAAGTTATGTTGTTATTTGAGATCTTTCTTGTTTTTAAATATAAGCATTTATTGCTGTAAACTGCCCTGTTAGACTTGCTTTCTCTGTGTCCCATTTTTTTGGTATACTGTGTTTGGTTTTCATTCATTTCTAGGTATTTCCTAATTTCCTCTGTAGTTTCTTCCTTGACCCACTGGCTATTTCAAAATGTGATGTTTACTTTACACACATTTGTGAATTCCTCAGTTTTCCTTCTGTTATTGATTTCCAACTTCATCCCGCTGTGGTCAGAGGATACTTTTTATAATCCATATCTTTTTAAATCTGTTGAGGCCTAACATATGGTCTGTCTTGGAAAATGTCCCGTGTACACTCGGAAACCAAGAGTGTGTTCATGCTTTACTGCCTGACTTCCATGTAAACTGCATCTTGTAAGTTGCCTCTGTCTCTGAGTTAGTCGTGTGATACAGATGCTTTTGCCTGTTCTCCTGGTTGACCTGTATGACTTTTGGGAGGTGTCTAGAAACGTGAATGTAGGTGCTTATCATTCCTCTTTGTCTGCATTTCCAGTTTTCTGTGTGTGTCTTGATATTAATTATCTCGTAGCAGTTTTTGTTGGACATATCATTTTTTGCTGTGCAGATTAAAGATTACCGTGATTTCAAAAACATTTTCTTCAGTTACCTTTGAAGAGTTATTTGGTTTTATTTTCTGTTCTTGTCTTTAAGAATGTCATTTGTGTGTGTGTGTGTGCGCGCATATGTATGTAATGTATATACTTTATATATATGTCATATATTCTCTGAAATATTTTAAAGCTTTTATGTAATTTTTTTAGGCATGTCCACCATTTTCCAGCTTTGTTTGTTCAGTCTTTACTTTTTCAGTAGCTTTTACTGTAACTTTCTTTGTATTTGTAATAGTTTTATTTTTCTGATATTTTGCTTTTTCAAGCTCCCACCTTCAGCTCTCAGAGGTTTTCCTTCATTTTAATTCAGAGATGTGGCTTGCTTTAATTTCATGAACTCCTTGAAGAATTCCATAATTTTTCTTTGCTCTATGCTGGAACTTTTTCTGCTGTGTTTCTTCTCTGCCTTTTTAAAAAATGACTTTCCTTTTTTCTCTTAGAGTATTCTTGCATAGTTTGAT